AAAAAAAAAAAAAAAAAAAAAAAAAAAAGGTGGGGGGTAGGGAGAGGAGGAGGAGGAGGGAAGAACTTTGCTGATAATCTGAGAACCATCAAGGGATACACTAGTTAAATTCGAGCTAGCCAGGCTGTCACCAAAAACTACTTTTAAAAAAATTCCCCCACACTTTCTAAATGAATGCCACGAGAGGCAGCAACTAGGGGATAATATAGGAATCAATTTATAAAGCTTAGACTAAACCGATTAATTTGTGGCCTCCGATCCTGAGTCCAATAAACTCCTAGTGTTCCTCCAGTCACTTATACTATAAAAAGATCAAGTTATTTACTGCCAATTAAGCAGCATGTTTTTGTCTTTGTCCTTTGTAAGCCGAGTGTGTGTACTCATACCAAGGCTTTGGGCCATCTCCTAAAGGCATTCAGACTGATACCTCTGAGAGACGGCGAACTTTTTTTTTTTTTTTTTTTTGCCTGCCCCTGGCCCAACTTGGTGGCTGGCAAGAGGGGAGGGCATCTAGAACCAAGTCCCCCGGTTCCTAAAATAGGCCGATTTTTAAACACATTTCCTCCGAAAGCGTCCCTGAACGTGTCTCTAGTGACCACACAATAAACCAGAAAAAGAACTCCACCAATTAAGCTGTAACAAAACCCCGAGACTTTGGAAACAGAACCACTCTAAAACCCATTAGCATTGCATTTATCCGAATGCATCATACCTTTATGTAAATTGATTTATCTGATGCATTTACTCGAGGAATTGCTTTTTGTTACAATTTCAGCCCTAACCCAAATGAATCTGCATATCCTGCCCAGAGTCTTAAAACTGTTTCCCTTTACGTTTTAATCGCTTTGAATTCCTTTAAAGGGGGTGGGGGGGAGGCGAGGAGAGATTCCATGCTGCTTATCCTGAATCTTTGGTGAGAAGTAATATATATTTATATATGTGTGTGTGTGTATATATGTGTGTATGTTATGTGTGTGTATTATATATATATATATGTTTTTCTGAAGGAAACATTACACTGACAAAAGCATCCAGTAACCCCATTAGCTAAAGCTCTTAAGGACAAGCAATACCTTAATGCTGATTAAATCTAAAAGAGATGATGAATCTAGGACTGACCAGAAACTGACTCCCCAGATAACTAAGGACGGGCCCTCATCAAGTTTCATTTAGAGTTGGGAAAAAAAAAAGCTTTTAAGTTAAATAGGCTTATATTCTAGTAATTACATAGCCGAGCAATTTAGGTCCTGGGATAGAGTCAGTGAAACAGAAAGCAAGAACTGGCAGCTAGAGGCAAAATAAGCCCCCCTTTAACAACGTCTCTGGTGTTTTTTAATGGAGACCAAGGGAGGGACAGGCGTAGAGCTGGCAATTTGTAGTACAAAAATGGATGCTTAATTCATGTCTTGATTTTAATTAGGTGATTCACCGGATTTCTCCTGGATTGAAACAAAAGACTTATAAGCCAAAAGGAATTTTTTTTCTTTAAAAAAAAAAGACCAATACAAAACCCTGCCCACTTTGATCCTTTCTGCCACTGTTTCAAAAATAGTGTTTACTGGGGGGTGAAGAGAGGTTGGGGGAGGAGGGAGGCAAGACTATTTTTCCCCACCTCAATTCATAACCGAAACAGGCAAAGCCTTTCACTTCTGGGCTGGAAAGGCGCTCCCCCCTCCCCCCCACCAAGCCCTCTTCCTCGAACAAGCCCTTTTGTAAAGCAGGAACCGCTACAAAGCTGACGGCCCTGGTGCTCGCCTGCCTGCCGGCCTGCCGGCCTCCTGCTCCGTCCACCCGCCTGCCAGCCCGCCCCCCAGCCTGCCTTCCTCTATAGTTTCAGACTCTCTCATTATCTAAGCCGACGTATTGTTTACTTGCAATTTGGGACGGTGAAGGGAAAGCAGCCAAAGAAAACAACGACGGTACAGGACACCCCCCTTCCCGGTCCCCGGGCCACCAGCAACACCAACCCCGCTGCTACCAACCCCCAGCCCTCCCCCCCCTCCACACACACACACAC